GTGAACATGATGAACACTTAATAATATTGCAAAAATGAAATTGATTTTATTTTCACACACAGGAAACTACTTGTTATTGATGTGGCAGTCATTCTTATATAAAATACCTGCATATCTGACCAATGACTTAATAGAGCAAAGATCAAAATGAGTATAATGTTAGAAGAAAGAATAAAAATGAGGGAAAAATATATAGAAATAGCTCATTTCTGATCTGCTCAAACAAGTGGTTAATAAGAAAAAAAATGGGTAATTGAAGAATGAGTTGGAGAAGAAAATGGCAAACCACTCCAATATCTTTGCAAGAAAACCCAAATGGGGTTTTCAGACATGACTGAAAGGACAGAACAACAACAAAATAGAAGAAATGACAAAGACAGTCTATAAACAATTTCATACAGAAGTTTAAATGATATAAATCAACTCCTAAACCATGGAGACAAAAAGAACCTTAATCAACGCAATACTTGACTTACTTGCCAAGTTGAGATAACAGTAAAAGGCAGTACTAGTGTAGAATATGAACTCATCTGCAAACTCTTTTAGAGAAAGATGACGGAAGATTATGAGAAATATTGCCTCATAAAACAGAGAAAAGCCAGTGGAGAGTAAAACCAGTTTAAAGAAAGTTCCATTGGAAACCCAACTAAACTACCATCTTGAGGGGACCTGTGGATTAAGTTAGAAAAAAAAGGTAACAAACTGAAAGGAAATGGATAAGCTTTTGGAAAGATTTTTATGATCAACTTTTTTCCCCATCAAGGATGTTAGAGGCATTTCCCTTGTACTAGAATACTGTGGCTATGTTCATGAAATAGAAATGGCACCCTAGAGAAGAAAGATGATAAAGGAGACATGTGCTGCAGTTGGCACAATTTGTAGTATTTTGTGGGATCAATCCACAATGTATCTGAAGGAAGAGAAGATACCAAAAAAATGGGGGTGAATTTCAAGGCTTATTAAGGTTACAAGAAGGCAACTAAGACAACAATTACCAAGACATATGCCTATTTTCCTATCTATCTAAAATGTTTGTGGGAACTCTCTCCACATGGATGGAGGTCATTGTTGATAGTAATTTACGCAGAGCTAAAATTCCTTGGTCATATTAGTAGGCGATAGGCCAGCTTTTTCAGGCAATATTTCACAGTATGCCACATCTTTACCACAACACAATAAACTGAAAGAGATAGAGAATACAAGATTTTTTTGTGCTTATGGTGTGTTGATGGTGAAAGAAACATTTGAGTTGTTAGAGGAAAACACGGCATTAAAACTCTCTTCAAAGTATTTCCTATTGTGATATACATTTAAAAAAATAACATCAGAGATTACCTTGTTTGACCACCCTCTAACTATAAAGAGCAGGCAAGGCATAAAACATGGAGACACGATCACTAAAGGTATTTGCCACTGGCATGGGGTAAATTTAACCCAAAGTTCAAACTGAAGAGGAATTTTGGGATAGTGAAGTCCTCCAGATGACCTGATGAATGGCATTACACTGGTTGCCTCAACCCTTAGCACACTGCATCTCATTGAAAAAGTTACCTAGCAATTCAAGTGAGCTTGGCCTAACCATCCATATAGGAAAAACCAAGTAAATGAAAAATGTTTATTGCAATTATTTATGACATGCAATTGGAAAGATGGCCTATGGATCTTATCTATCAGAGTGTTGTGTGCACACACACATGTACATACTCATGTATTTACATATATATATGTTTGTTTATATGCATATGTAAGATATAGACCAGCTCTATGATTTCATTAGTACAGGAAACTCCTAGATGATGAAACTCCTTGTGCCAATAAAGGTCTGCACCTTCTCTGCAACCTACATTCTTCAAGTTCCCTAGAGTACTAGAAGGTTAATTGACTTGCCCAGGGTCAGACAATCATTCTCTGTCAGCATTAGGATTGAATGAATTTTCTCTATTTTTGAGGCAACCTGTCTATGCACTATTCCAGGTTGTTTCTAGGACAAACAGCATAAAAGGGCAAAAATAAGTTGGACACAGAAGTAAACAAGAGGAGGGTAATGGGCTGAATTGCCTTCTGAAAATCATGAAGTTCTTTAATGACCCCAAACTCCTCTTAGAAATGAAGTCTCATCTTTTTGTACTACAAAAATTCTACCGTTGTCATATCACTATGAGTTATGAATTACTAAGATCTTTGAAGAATTAAAAGAGAGCATCACATAGACAGTCATGGGAAAGCACATGGTGAGTATGTGCAGAACACAACACATAACAAATAAGGAACTGAGGAGAGCTAGAAAAAAGGATATCAGGGAAAGGTATGATAGAAAAAGAAGATGCCTAGGGTGCACAGGACAGGAATAAGAAACAACAACTAGACAGCTCAAGTTGTTCTACCTCTCTACTCATGATGTAAGAAAAAAATCAATGAAGACTTCATTCCCCCCTCCCCAAAACTGTGACTCCTCCCCAGAATGTCGGCTTGAACCCCTGAGCAAGCGCTTGGAAGGACCCGGATGAGAGCTGTACCAAATGGGCAGCCATGGGGGTATCGTGATTTGCATTTTTGTAGAGAACGTACAAAGTAATGAGTTCACAAATCCATTTAGGAATTATTATTATTACTCAGCAATATCAAAGCAAACTACTGCTGCTGACATTCCTTCCCAATCCATAGTCAAAGGAGTAGCCTGCTTGGCAAGTGAACTGGAGGCTGAGCGGGCCATGAAAATCATCATTAGCTCATATAGGAACAAAAATTCAGATAGCCCTAAACACAAATCAGGTCATTAGAGAGACTTGGTATGTTTTATGTCCCATTCCCTCTTCCATTCTATTCATCCCTCTTCGAAGGGTTTGCACAGGAAGTTATGCTAGTGGAGAGATTCTTCGGAGTTTAGGTTTTCTAGGGAGATTTGGAGTCAGAGGACCTGGGTTCCAGCCCCAACTTGACTTCGTACTAGCTATATGACTGCAAGGCAAACTATTTAAGCTCTCAGAGGCTTAGCTGGTTCAGCAGCTGGAGAGCTGAACTTTGGAGTCAGAAAAAATTGGATCCAAATTCCAGCTTGGACACTGACTAATTGTGTGACCGCTTACCTAATCCCTCTACACTTCAATAACCTTGTCTGTCAAATTGGGATCATGATGCTGGTAGCAGCTATTGCAGGAGGGGTTGGCATGAGGATCCACATACAATGTGTGCGGAGTTCCTTACAAATTCCAAAGCACTATATTAATGTCAGTTACTAACCACTTGTAAGTGAGAATAACAGCTACCTTACTCTCAAGGTTGTTGTAAGGAAAAGCATTTGGCTATAAAAATGAGATATTTAATCATTTATGAAACACTTTGAGTTTTTCAAAGTGCTTTGCATATATTGTGCCAAATGATCCTTACGACAATCCTATAAGAAAGTGCTGTTAATATTCCCATGTTACAGATGAAGAAAACTGAACCCAATGTTGGGCTTAAAGAGCATCACCCTGAGACGAAGGGGATAGAGATCTCTTCCATGAGGCTCAGCAATGATCCAGAGTTTGAAGCCTTCCACAAAGAAGGTCATCAGGAGGACCTCAAAATTCATAGGGAAATCCCTCTTCAATTTGGATTCCATGCTATATCTCCTTTGCAACAGGAGCAAATAACTTTTGCAAGCATATATCTCCATTTTTTATGCCTCTGACATTTATGCTTAGAGGATGGTGGAACAAGTTTATCTCTGTTCTGTCTTGAATAATTCTGATGTATGGATTGGAGATACCTCATCTGAAGGGATTCTTTAGGCAATGTTTTACTCTTCCAAATCGAATACTTTTGTCTAATTGACATACAACAAACCCAGCAGGATTGAGAATTTCTACATCTTTCAGTCAATTAGGTCTACTGTGGAATACAGCTAACAAAAGCCTGCCTATTCCCTGCTAGCACTTTGTGACTCAGACAAGTGGGAGGAGATGTACCCACTTGGAAAGTGTCCTTCAAATACAGTGACTGTGTTCTGAAGGCCAATGCAGTGGGCCATATAGGAGTATCACAGGTCAGACTGTTCTTGCAAACAGTTTATGAAGGCAGGTTAGCAGGGCGTGTGTTGAGACCCGCATCCCCACCTCTCTAAGTCCCTTTGATGAGTCATTTCCCACCAGGGAAAGCATGTGCTTGAGGGTGGGGTGAGGGTGACAGTTGGCATTAATGGGCAGAGTTCTAGCTTGATAACAATATCCAAAGTGAATTGATCTTTAAATAAAAACCCATCTGACTTGTGATAAAAGTTAATCCCACACTGAAGCTTAGTCAGGGGCCAGAACAGCCACTGCTTCAGAAGGATGCGTTACATGAGTACATCTCCTCCCCTTTGTCTGAGTCAAAGCGTTTTGCAGAACAAAATGTGTTTTAACTCCCTCCTGTTGACACTCTGAAACAATCTGACTTCAGAGGTGGGTTTCTGATCTTTGTGAATCATTAACAAAGGCAAACCTGTCAGCTCAGTCCTTGTTGCAGGTGGGAGGAAACAAGCCGTTCCCCATTTCTGTCATGGACAAGCTAAGGGGGAAAAGGTGAAATTGAAGCAGGAGGGAATTAGCATACTCTCAACGAGTAGCTGGGGCTGTAAGAGTTATGAGGTGTTCAGGGTTTGCAGTAGAGAAGAAAATGAACAGGTGGTTTGGTTGAGTTCTTTTCACCAGCTGATGCTAGTGATTCTCCCACCTGCCCAGCCTGGCTGTTACTTTGGATACAGAGGAAGAGAGTAGGGGTAAGGAGAAGTTTTCTGGGGAGGATAAAAGTTGAAAAAATTCTGCCAGAAGTATATTTATTTTTTTCATTTTATTTAAATTGAATTAACTCATTCTCCCTTTTTCCTTCCCATCTTAAGAAGTACTTATTATTTTTTTTCCTAGCTCCAGAAAATAATCCTTTAGTAGCTTGATTGGTATGTCACTGGAAAAGAAAATTAATTTAGGTAGTACTATCGTTTTTGTTATATTGGTATGGCGTACCCATGAGCAATTAATTAAAATATGGAATGCATCACAAATTTGCATGTCATCCGTGTGCAGGGGCCATGCTAATCTCCATATCATTCCAATTTTAGTATATGATGCGCTGCTGAAGCAAGCACCCTGCTGTCAGAAGATCTACATTTGAATTCTGACTCTATTATTTACTATCTAGATTATTTAGGGAAAGTGATTTCACAGTCCATTCAAAATCAATCCAATGGAATCCATTAGGTATCTACTACTTGCAGCCTATGGCAGGCCTTGGGGATAGAAGGGCAAAACAGAAAAACAGTCCTCACCGGGGATGTCCCGGCAAATGTTCCGGCAAAAACTGTCTTGGGGAAGGGGAAAGGTCTGCAAGACACACTTTTAAGTTTAATGGGCATTGCTAACATTATCGCCATCACTTTCTTAAGCCTACACAATCAACAAAATCAAGTCCTGATTTTCACCCTTCACGTTTTTCCAAGGTATAAATGATCAGGCTGAAAATTTAACAATGGGCTCTAGCCAGTGTGAGCTGACTGCAGCATAGCCTTGATCCCTGCCCTCAAGGAGATTATAATTTACTGGGGAACACAACATGTAAACAGACATAGCCACCTGATAATTTGAGAAAGGAATACTGAGAACCAGGGAGGTGTGGAGTGTCTGGACAGATGTCCTGTCTAAAGCAATGTGTGAGCTGCACCACCAAGGAGGCCAGTGATTCCAAGAGGCAGAGGTGACAGAGGTGATAGGACTGCGTTTCCTCATCCTCGAAAGGAGGTAGTTGAATTAAGTGATCTCCAAAATGAGATATTTGAACTGTGATCTCTGGTTCTTCCCACTCTAAATCCTAAGCCCCTGTGATTTCACATGAACCTCACAATGATGTGCTGAGATGGGGAGTGCAAATATTATTACTCCTCATGCTATAGATGAGGAAACCAAGGGCAGAGAAATGGAAATATAATTGATATTTGTTACTAGTTCCATGTCAGCACTTTGCCACTATTCTGACGTTCCTCTATAGCTGTACTTGCCCTTTCTTTGTGAGAGGCTTAGCATTTGGGAGGATACAGACTCTGAATGGATGGACCTATAATGATGGGGCTTTCAAAAGGAATACTGTTCTGCCAACTCTTCTAAAGATCAGTAATTATTATTGAACATTTTGTGAAGAGCTGTGCATCATCATTAAGCTTTATCCCATTCATGGGCCCTATTCTTAAGAATCAGAAGGCAAAGGCTAATCTGATTTCCACCACCCCTCTTAAGTGTCATTTGGAAATGGCTTGGATGAGTACAAGGAATGCAGTAGCTTCCCTGACCTGGTAAATGAAGAAGTCCTGGGGAAACTCAAAACCTCCTGACAAGAGAGGCTGAGTCACCCTGGCAAAGGAAGACTAGCAGGAGTTTTGAGTATCAACTACCCACCAATTCCTCAGGAGCCTTCCCTCCACCCGCATGCATCAGTACCAGTCTCCAGGTCTAAGCTCCTCATTCCTTTCCCCCAATGTCTAGCTCTGGTAGCCCTGGATAAGCACCCTATAAAAACCCACCAGAATTTACTGGTTGGGGGTCAAGTACCCACTTCCTCAGTTCCACCCAAGGCTGCAGCGGGATGCTCCATTCCACCTAGGGCCCCTGAAGACTTGTTTCTCTGAGTCTTCCCAATTGCTTTTCACTCCGTGCATATCTCCCCCAGTAAAGCCAACTTGCTTTACTGTATTATCTTGGATTCCAGTTTCATTGTCTTGGGCCTTTGGTAGTCCGAACCTCCCTAAGTAAGTGTTAAGACAATGAGAAATGCCAACAGGCTTTTAAAGACCTGGCCAATTGCCTCACCACTGTTGGATTATTGCAAGCAAAACCTTTGTGTTTTACCTTGATGCTCGCCTGAACAGCTGAGCACCTTGGATGGGAGCAGTCTGGTACCAGAAGAGGGAGGTCTACCCAGAGTATTTACCAGCAGAGGGCTTAAAGTCCGTGAGACTTGGAATTTGGTATACAAGTTGGAATTCTTGGCTTTGAAATGGGTTGTCACTGATAAATTCTCAGGCCATGTATATGGAACTCAATTTCAAGTATGAATAGATAGCAACCCACTGACTTATCTTGACAAGTGCTAAGTTAGAAGCTGCCTGCCAAAGAAAAGAGGCAATGCTGGCCAACGATGAGTTCAGCATACGTTATCGGCCAGGGAAGAGTAATGTAGATGCAGGTGCTCCATCACACACAGGCCACGTGAGTCCAAAATTAGGCTGACACTCAGTGAAAGTGTGAAAGCACTCTATGACATTAGAGGAAAAGGGTGACTATGACATCAAAGCACAGCAGAAAGTCTAGGACTTCCATCAGAGATTATACCCCAATGGACGTAGTATACATTGCAACGTTGAACCAGTCCCCCTTGTCTTAGTTGTATTTGGACAATTAGAGGAGGGTGAAGCAGCGTCACTATCTACAAGAAGAGAAGCAGAGTGAGAAAGAGTGTGACCCTCAAGACCCGAGCTTCATTCCACAGAAGGTATCCTGTTACTGAGAAAATGGCCAAAGTTAGAGCTAGATCGTGGAATACTCTGTGAGACATGAAAAAGCATCTGGTGTCATCCAAGACATTTCACTTTATGGCCAACAAAGCATTCATGATGATTTTTGGAAACGGGTCAAGGGATAACTCTGGATCTGGTGGGAAATGTATTCTAGTGCCCCAATAGGGCAATAGGTATCTATAAAGAAATATGAAACTTGTAATCAGTGTGTCCAAAGAAAAGTGCTACCAGTTTAGACTATACTTCAGAGCTTGTGTATAAAAGCTTTTAACCTTTGGAAGAGAATGAGAAAAAAAGTCACATATCAAAAGTGAGAGACCATTTCACCAAATATGCATGGACATATTCGACCAATAACCAGAATGCTTTAATGATTGCTAAGATTTGGTGGTAGAATTGTTTCTCTTTATGTGGGTTCTCTAACAGGATCCATTCTAATCAAGGGGGAGTCTTTGAAGGCAAATGACTCAAGGAAATGTTAATTTAGACCAAAAAATGTGACCTGCTTCTTTGGAAGAAACCAAGAAATCCAAAACTATTATCTTGCCATCTACAAGGAAACCTGCGGCCTTAGAATTTTAATCAGACATTATTCAAATGGCAGGGGCACTCTGAGGCTTGAGCAGAAAGTTCAGGGGTGTCAAAAAGTGGCATTTCTACTGTATCCATATAAAGACAACTAGATTGTTGCCCTAGACTTCACTCCATCTGATTTTGGGGGAAGAGTCAAGTTCACCTAATGGATTTGTGCTTTGGAATCTTCAAGATGGAGAAAATGCAGAGTCTTATATTGGGTAGGTCACATGGCCCTAGATAATAGGACACTGCAAAGCCAGTATATCATAGCCTACCACTGGCTGATTGGTTGTACTACTTGGCATCAAGGAGTAGATGAACAATGGAGAGTTGGCTATGCAAACTTCAAGAAGGGTCTATTTACCAATTGTAAATAGACTACCAAAGTTAGATAATAACTCAAGAGATGTTTCAGATGAAGAGAAAACTATGTGTTGGTACCCCCAAGTCTGTCTTGGCCTAAGAGGCACCTTTATTTAGACAGAGGGTGAAGACTGAATCCAGAAGCTGCAACTTTTTTTCCTTCATACTACAGATGTGGAGGGCCCCCAGAGACCAGAGGCTAACTACAAAGCCCAGAGCTAACAATAGCCAGGACTAGGGTGGAAGTTCTGTAGGGCCAGTGTAGTCTAGAACTTCCATACTCACATTGCTTTTGTGAGGGGATTTGTTGCATTTTTATACAGAATTTAAGGTTTGCAAAGCACTTAATATATAATCTCATTTCATCTTCACAACCACCATGTGAACTAGACAATATTATCTCTATTTGACAGGTAAACAACCTGAGGCTCATAGGGCTTCTTGGGCTTGCCCAAGATTACTCAACTAGGGGCAACTAAGTGGCGCAGTGGATAGAGCACTGGCCCTGGAGTCAGGAGGACCTGAGTTCAAATCCAGCCTCAGATACGTAACATTCACCAGCTGTGTGACTCTGGGCAAGTCACTTAATCTCAATTGTCTCACAAAAAAGCAAACAAACAAAACAAGATTACCCAGCTAATTAAGTGTTAGAGGTAGGACTGTGAACCAATATTTCTTCTGATTCTAAGTTCAGAGTTCATCCCACTTTACCATGCTGTTTCTCTAATAACTAAGACAAGAATTCTGGAGATTTTTAGGTCAGGCAAGGAAAATGATCTTTGTGGCTTGCCTTTAGTACAGTCCTGGAAGTACATCCTAGAATGATGTATTTTCACGGTCTCCTCTAGCCCTATGAGATGAATTTAGATGGCTTTAATTTTATCTTCCTGAAATTATTTTCTGGTTGGAAAGACAGATAAAGAACACCAGTGTGTATTTTCTTGGAAATAACGAATTTGTTGCAGACATCATTGAGAGCAAAGATAAATTAAGCTTTGCATAGCAATTTTAGTCATGTTGGTGACAGAGAATCAAGCAAGTGCTGGGGAGACAGGGAGGTGGCAAGTTGAAGGGGGTGAGAAAAGGAGAAGGAAGTGAAGGCTGCCATGGGCAAAATGGATGCTCACCTTTCACTAACAAGGTAAAGTGGAGATTCTTTTGTTTCCTCCCTCGTCTTGAGAGGCTCTGCTCTAACATGGCATTGATTCCTTCTTTGAAACAGCTTTGTTCTCTGCATCCTGAAGTGTAGCAGAGACTATGGATTGATGGAGAGGTGCTGACTTCTCTGAGTGGCGGGGCACACTTCTGTTGTTTGAATCCCCCACTTAAGTGGAGCTTATCTTGAAGAAAGGAGGTACAGGCACAGGTGCTCTGACTGTTCCTTGCCCAAGAAAGCTTCCATGTACTAGCTATAAAATGGTATCACCCAACATGGGTCATGAAGTAGTTTGGGTTACTATCCTTTCTTTTGTTGGAATTGGGGTGAGGGGAATAGGTGGGTTTCAGCAAAGAATATATTTCTGGAGAGAGAAAGGGAGTAGTCAATCTGACTGCAGCAGTGGTTCGATGAAGGGGGTAGGTGTAGAATTGGGGGAGCTGAGATGGGAGGAAGAGGGAGAGGAACTGGCTTCTACCTAAAGTTGC